CAAGCCAGAAGTCCAAGTCCGTTAGCTAAAGGCGGATATCCAGGGGCCTTGATGTAGCACAGGTGGGATGTAAGAAACCTAGCCTTTGTTTCTAAGAAGAAAAAATTTGGAGGGGGCCTGGGGGCCTCCTAGAAAAAAATCTGTTTCTGGAGACCTCCCCCTAAAGACTGATGAAGGCAGGCAGTGCTTCCTCCGAGGCGGCAGAGGGCGCTCCCCGAGGTGGTAGCTGAGATGGGCCGGGAGGAAGGGAAGAAACACGTTCCAAGCGAGGCGAGGGGGCGGAGGGTCCAGCGCTCATGCTGACCCCTCAGGGAAAGACTAGGTCCCTCGAGCCCCCTTCTGACTGTCCTATTTCTTCTCCTCTGGGGCCTTCTCGGCGACTCCCGGGGCAAAGGGTCCCACCAGCCACATGATGGGCGTGTTCTGGGCCACGTACTCAACCATGTGGTCAAGGGCCTCTCGGGCCTTGGCCACCTGCTCTCGGCTCTGCGTCAGGATAGTGCTGGACAGGTCCTGGAAGGAATGGACGCCAGAAAAGGTGGCCTGGAGGCCCTCCACCTGGTGGCGAGCCTGCTGAACCTGGTCCTTCACGTGGGAGGGCAGCCCCTGGATGCTGGACCCCAGCGAGGCACAGGTGTTCTGCAGCTGCTGGGCAATGTCGCGGAACATGGTAAGCGTCTGGGACTCCACCTGCTGGGAAGGGGCGGACAGTCAGGACCATGTTTTGGGATCCAAAGCCCGGGGAGAGAAAGTGGGGGTTCTCCTGCCCACCTTCCAGAAAACCTGTCCTTGGCGAGCCCGTCCAGCACGGTGGTTTGGGATCCCAGCTCTATTTGAGTTTTGAGCCAAGTGACATAGACCCCAAAGTGAAAAAGAGGCACAGTCACTTCGGAAGACAGTCCGGTGGTCCCTCAAAACGTTAAGAGTTTCCATAGGACTAGCGATCCGTTCCATTTCTAGGTATCTACCCAAGAGAAATGGAGACACGCGACCATACACGGGCTGAGGCTGGTCACAGGACGTGATCCACAGGAGGCAAAAGTGGAGACAACCCAGAAGCCCATCAACTTGTAAACGGGTAAACAAAACCCACACAGGGGAACGTCACTGGGCCTCGAGCAGGAGCGAGGCGCCCACCCCTGCTGCCCCGCAGTCGGACCCTGAACACACGACCCTCAGGGAGGGAACCAGACACGGGAGGCCCCACAGAATGTGAAACGGCCAGAACAGGCTCATCCACAGACAGGAAGGGGGTTCGTGAGTGCTGGGGACAAAGAGCGTCTGCTAAAACGGGGACAAGATCTCCTTTGGGGTTGGTGGGAACGTTCTAAATGCACTGTGGCGATGTTCGCACAGCCCTGTGAACACGCGAAAAACCACTGGATCATCCGCATGGGTGAACTGTATAGCATGTGAATTATATCTCAATAAAGCTTTTTTTTTTTTTTTT